AAAAAAAAAAAAATAAATAAAAAATCTACAGAACAAAAGAGTGATGTACAAGATTTTGGGCTTTGAGAACAAACCATCACTGAAAAAAAACGAATATGAAGATGAAGAGTCAGAGAGACGTACTTCTCTTTCCGTCGGGGTCCGCGTGGACTTTGCGGACCAGGAAGCCGCTCTTGTAGAGCTCGCCATCGGCCTGCTGGGCAACGCCCACCAGTGGGTTCCCTCCACTTCCCAGGCGCTTCATGGTGTGGGAGGCCGAGTCTGTTCGGACGTCAGCCAGCTCCGACATGGACTTCCTCAACTCCTCCTCATCACTTCAGGAGACAGAGGACAGAAGGAGCTCGATGAAACTGAGCGGCTGGTTATTCATCACTTATTATGAATGGTTTTATTTCCATCATCTGACAACATGAGATCTGACTGAGTCAGCTCTGCAGGTGATTATTGATCGGTCACGCTGTATGTTTACTGTTCAATTAACCAGATCAGCGTGGAGAAAGAGGAGGGTGTAAAAATCAACTGATATACGTTAAAAAAGAATAAACAGAAATGTTCACACACCTTTTTATTTTATTTGTATCTGTTGGGTTTAAACTGTGTTTTAACTTGTTTTATGTTAATCTTGTTTTACTCTGCGCTCCTTTATGTCTCTGTGCTTGTATGTTCGTGTCTTTGTTTGTCTGTGTGGTAAAAAACCTGTTGTTGCTTTTTTAAGTGCTGTAGAAATGAGAGCAACTTGAAAACTCAACATGTGCAAACATGGCAACCCTCAAAAAATACCTGCGCAGAGTAAGACAGGTCCTGAAAAGTCGTCCGAACGGAAAGAACAAGGTCCAGGCCAACAACATACATGTGCTGACAGTCATCTGTTACCCCGCTGGTATAATAAGCTGTACACTAAGTCTGGCACCCTGAGACTGTACACTGGGTCCGTCCCAATACTCACACTTCCCCTCAAAGTTGGCTCTTGTTTTTGTGCGTTCCCACAAAGGGCTACGGTGTCCCAAACTTTAGGGAAGTGCTTTTCAGCCCTTAAAATCCCCACTTAATTTGAGGGGCTGGTGCACACTTATGAACCCATCTCAGCTGAGGGGAAGACTGAATTTCATAGGATGCACTGAGAAACTATCCAGCCAGGCAAGTTTTCCAGGAAGATGGCAGCCTCCATGAGAGAGCCATCACACAATTGTAAGTACTATTTTCACAAATTAGTATGCAAAGATTCCAAAATATGTTGGGACGTGTTGTTTCTGCATATCAGTTGTTATCTGTAAGTGTTAAGTTAGAATATGAAAGCTTGAAAATCACTACTTCACGATGTAGCCGACATGAATATCTACAGTTCTCCGTGAAGCCATTAATGCTGCACACATCTATTTGCTGCGTTTCTTCTCCGTTGATTTGTTCAGTGAAGAAGGATGAAGACAGCCAACGAAACAAGTAATACAACCACTGGAGCTGGCATTTTGGAAATGAGTGCAAGAAGCCTACGTTGATGATACACATGATGTAGGTGAACATGTCTGTTACGCTAATTTGCATGAAGTGGCGTCCCAATTTGTAGGTAAAATTCCATACCCCTCAACACTACCCCTTCGTCGTTGAGGGGAATCTATCGGGCAAGTGCACTTGAAACCAAGGGGTAAGGTTAAGGGAAGAGAATTGGGATTGGCTCCTACTGGCACCCTGAGACTGAACACTAAGAGGAACAAGGGGGGCTGAGGACTGGTGAGCATCAGAGACACTGTCCAGGACCAAACGACAAAGATCCAGGAATATGAAATCACGGCCATCAGATATCTTTCCCTTCTGCTGTAGATATTCAGTCTGATAAACACGGAGACATTGATCATGTTAGTGCAGGGCTAGCCATAATAATGACATAACTCTGGTACATGTAACTAGTTTCTCCCCAACACTGCTGGTTGTATTATACATATATATATATATATACAGAAATATATACATAGATGTTTCTGAATCCTACATAGTTTGAGCTTCTGTCGGTAAAACAAATCTTTATTAAAGAAAAACACTACTACTTTTCTGTTTTGTTTTTTCTAAATCGCTGTTAACACCAGTGCGAGAGAGATGAAATATGAAAAGACAACAGAACCAAGTTTCTGACAAAAAATAAACAGACTTTACGTCGACAGAACCAATTTCCTGTCATTTCATTTCTTTACATCATCACCTCATCTGTTCAGTCACCATGTTTTATTTCACTGTCCTGAGCGGTCTCATCACATCAGCTCCTCATCCTATAAACTCATCTCATTTTCATTTCCAATGTCTGATTTTTCTCGTCTGTTTCGTCGTGTCGCCATCACAACGTGTTTTTATCACACGGCTGCAGAGGATTAAAAACCTAACCGACAAATGACTCCAGAGTGAAAGAAAGAAATAAAAGACGGGCTGAACATGAGGGAGGACAGATGCTCCGAGCACACGAGACGCCTGCCTGTGTGTGTGTGTTTTATACATATAAATATACGTGTGTGTGTGTGTGTGTGTGTGTCCACAGTTAAGCATGGGCGTTGGGATGCTGACCTGTAATTACAGCGAGGAAAGAAAGCAGGGAACAGTCGCCATGGCAACAGAGGCTTAAATAAGAGAGTCAGGGCAGCAGGGACACACACACACACACACACACACGCGCACACACACACACACTTCAGATGTTTGTCGTGTGTGTTATAAACCAGTGGAAACCAGTTGATGGTTTGTACTGGAGGAAGAAGAGGAGAGGAGGAAGAGGAGAGGAGGAACTTACATGGTCCACTGAAGCTTCTCATTCTTGATGGAGCTGTAGAGAGTCTGCAGAGACACAACACACACGCACAGTCAGATATTTGTACAGAGTGTGTGTGTGTGTGTGTGTGTGTGTGTGTGTGAGAGAGAGACTGAATTTTGGGACCTTTGGCTTTCCTTATTTGACTTTCCTTTAAAAACATGACAGACAATCGAGTCTTGACTTTGTGCGACCCACCGCCGGGGGTTTTAAACGATTTAAAAGCTGAGGCCAAAAATGTCCGCAAATCATGAGAAAAGGCACCCAGGAAGTGCGCCGCACTTTGAAGCCAGTTTTCGAAGACAGTTTTCGTAGTGGCCAAACAGTGGTACTGTAATTTCTGGGGTCCGTCACCTGATGACGCCATAGGGGACCGAAAAGTGTTTTTTCCATTGACTTACACTGTGAAAGAGTCGTCTATAAATCAGTGGATAGATTTTTTTGAGCATCACGACTCCTGCAAAATGACTCATTTTGATATCAAGATTTGATCCATTTGGTCCGATAACACAAGATTAAATGATGCAGCGCTCAGTGGCCATCAGGCTCTAGGGCGCCTGCTCAGTGATGCAGAAACAGCGCTAATCATCCACGTTGTTTCATACTGCGGACATGGAGCGATTTTGGCTTCACTGAGCATCTGTTACAGGAATGAACAGAGCCCCGCCTCCAACGTGTATCCAGGACTCTTTATACATCCGTGGTGGAGACGATAATGTTTAGGAGCTCCTTACCCTCCGTGCAAATGCGAGACTGACTCGCTCCCCCACCCTGGGTTCGGACCAAAAACCCTCTTGCTGTGAGGCAACAGTGCTAACCACTGCACCACTGTGCTGTCAGGGCCAGGAATCTCTTAATTCAGGACATTAAAAACACTTCTATCTATGATAATCAACACCCTGCGGCCAATCACAATCAAACCAGCTTCATAGTGTATGAACAACAGCAAAGACAACCAATTAGAAACAATTAATCAACAGCAAATCAGTGTTTGTGTCATAAGCGTCACCTCTGCTTTGCTGTTTGCTGCACAAACGTTTCACACAATGAAGAGTTATGAAATATGAAAACAAAATTAAATTACATGATGAAATGAGACGATGAAGTAAGATTTAAATGAGAAGAGATTATATTAAACTTTGACCAACAAAAATTAACATTATCTTTCCCTTGATTTTCACACTTTTATTGTGAAAATTATGCAGAAGCATGGTTGTTTCTTTGACAGCAGCTTAACAGCGATCGAAAAAAATTTAAAAGTAGAACCAGTTGTAAAGAATTAGCCAATAATAATAATTTCTGTTATATGCACATAATCTTTTTCTGTCCTCATGCGTTTATTGTGAGGCAAAGTTAACAGCATTTAAAAAAATAAAATGCCAAAGTAAAATGGACTGGAAACAATAAGACAGTAAAAATGTGTTTTATGATTTTAGCACTATAAAGTACCTTCCTGCATAAAATATTTCTCAAAATAAGGGTACATTCAAATGTGGTGATATGAAAAAGGATGATGAAATAGCCAATAGCCAATGACGAGATGTTAAGATGATATAAAAAAAAGACTGGTAACACCAACAGTCTCTCAGCAGCTCTGCGGACATCGTCCTTCGATTTCCTGAAGCTTTTACTGTGAAAAGTCTGAAATAAAAGTTGAGTTTAAGTTGAACTGAGTTAAATCGATGTTTCTTGGACGTGTCTTTGCTCAGTGGAGTCAGGGACTATTTTGCCCAAATGTTCATGGAAACATAAAACAATGACTATTAAGACTTGAGAGACTGATTTAAGACATTTTAACAATGACTATTAAGACTTGAGAGGCTGATTTAAGACATTTTAACAATGACTTTAAAGACTTTTGAGAGACTGATTTAAGACATTTTAACAATGACTTTAAAGACTTTTGAGAGACTAATTTAAGACATTTTAACAATGACTATTAAGACTTTTGAGAGACTGATTTAAGACATTTTAACAATGACTATTAAGACTTGAGAGACTGATTTAAGACATTTTAACAATGACTTTAAAGACTTTTGAGAGACTGATTTAAGACATTTTAACAATGACTTTAAAGACTTTTGAGAGACTAATTTAAGACATTTTAACAATGACTATTAAGACTTTTGAGAGACTGATTTAAGACATTTTAACAATGACTATTAAGACTTGAGAGACTGATTTAAGACATTTTAACAATGACTTTAAAGACTTTTGAGAGACTGATTTAAGACATTTTAACAATGACTTTAAAGACTTTTGAGAGACTGATTTAAGACATTTTAACAATGACTTTAAAGACTTTTGAGAGACTAATTTAAGACATTTTAACAATGACTATTAAGACTTTTGAGAGACTGATTTAAGACATTTTAACAATGACTATTAAGACTTGAGAGGCTGATTTAAGACATTTTAACAATGACTTTAAAGACTTTTGAGAGACTGATTTAAGACATTTTAACAATGACTTTTAAGACTTAAAAAAGCTGATTTAAGACATTTTAACAATGATATTAAGATTTGAGAGACTGATTTAAGACATTTTAACAATGACTTTAAAGACTTTTGAGAGACTAATTTAAGACATTTTAACAATGACTATTAAGACTTTTGAGAGACTGATTTAAGACATTTTAACAATGACTATTAAGACTTGAGAGGCTGATTTAAGACATTTTAACAATGACTTTAAAGACTTTTGAGAGACTGATTTAAGACATTTTAACAATGACTTTTAAGACTTAAAAAAGCTGATTTAAGACATTTTAACAATGATATTAAGACTTGAGAGACTGATTTAAGACATTTTAACAATGACTTTAAAGACTTTTGAGAGACTGATTTAAGACATTTTAACAATGACTTTAAAGACTTTTGAGAGACTAATTTAAGACATTTTAACAATGACTATTAAGACTTTTGAGAGACTGATTTAAGACATTTTAACAATGACTATTAAGACTTGAGAGGCTGATTTAAGACATTTTAACAATGACTTTTAAGACTTAAAAAAGCTGATTTAAGGCATTTTAACAATGATATTAACACTTGAGAGGCTGATTTAAGACATTTTAACAATGATATTAAGACTTGAGAGACTGATTTAAGACATTTTAATAATGCCCCATAAGACTTTTGAGAGACTAAGACATTTTAACAGTGACTTTTAGATTTTTTAAGGATCCCGCGGACCCTGCATATTAAAAGACAGTGACAGGCAATGTCAACCTCCACTTCCCTGATCACTAATGTTTTATTTCCCCGCCGTGGCTGACTGTCATTTTATGGCCTTAAAGTCAAAACTATAAATTTGATCTAGTTTAAAATGTCGACTGATTTCAACCTCGCAGGGCCCTTTTCTAAAAATGTAACATGTAGAGGACCCCGCCAAGTCTCAAGCAACTAAAACTTTTCTTTTTGCTGTATTCACCAACACGTTTGCGTCTCCATGACCAGTGTGAGCAGCTCGTCTGAGTGAAATCTAAATTAAAGTGAGTGCACCTGTCTCCAGGTTCTACCTTCTTCTTGCGGCTCTGTCGGTGCTGCTGTCCGTCCTGGGTTTTCCCCAGCAGGTCGGGGAAGGCCAGCGGTTTGAGGGAGCGAGAGCGAGGGGTTCTGGGATACCTGAATGGGTCTGTGTCCCTCGAGTCCCGCCCGCTCCGGACCGAGCAGAGCGACCGCGACCGCATGCGGCCTGATGAGTGGATGCCGGTGACGCCAATCATGATGAGTTCAGAGTTCAGAAGAGGAGCATCTGATTCGAGTCTGACTGAATTTTACAGTAAAAAAAAAAGAAAAGATCCAGGAAACTTGAAATGAAGACCAAAAATGTCTTTAGGCTTCAGAGAACAAATGCTCACAAGTATGGCTCGGAGAAGAGAGCACGACCTCCAGATGACCTCCGGATATTAAGAAAGTATTTGATGAGAATCTCCAGGTGTTTGACCAGAAGCCAACCTGACGTGAATATAATGTCTTTAGTCCAGTTTACATCAGAAACAGATCTGACTCCACTTTGGCACCAGCTCTGACGGAGTCTCCAAACTGGAACTGTTTAGATTTCATGAAATAAAGAGCTGGTGTTTGGAACAGAGTGCGGGCTGCTTCAGCTGAATTTAGTGTGTCCTCAGCGGAGCTCAGCCTGCTGCATTATGGATCCAGCTCTATTCATTATGCATAAAAACACAGCAGCATTTCATCCGGCTCATAATCCTGCTGGCTGACAGCCGGCTGCTCGCTCAGGTGTTTGGAGGCAAAGCCACAAAAACAAAAAGACGCTGCCAACAGACATCACAGACGACTGAGACTCCACCTGCTGCAACATTTATGTTCCTCTGGTTACTGATGTCGTTCAGGCGTGGACGTACAGAAACATGATGTTTGAGTCTGAATCTGCTGAGAGATTTATTGTCTACGATCCTTCAAATGATCAGAAATCTGTTATTCTGTTAAATAATCTGAGACAGAGGGTAAATTATTGTTTCAATAATGAATGCAAATGATCATTTGCAGTTATTACTCAATAAAAAGAAACAAACAGTCAAAAAAGTGAAGTTTCACTGTTGTAAAATAGCAAATCTGTTTTGTTTTGGAGAAAAAAACTTTACAAATACTGTTCACTTTTTGAACATTTTTGGGCTAATTTTCAGATATATTTTTATGGATAATTTTATTTAAGAATAATTCTTAGGTATTTCTTTGTAAAAATAAAGTTGAAAGTCCGTTTCACAGTCACAAAAAGTCAGAAACATGAAGATCTGTTGATACAAAACAGCAAATCTGTATTTTCATTGGTTAAAAGATACAATTAATTTTTGATAATTTTAAGGTATTCATTTGAGAATAACTTTATTTAATGATCATTTTTAGGTATTCCTCATTAAAATAAGGATGAATTTGCATCTAACAGCGACCAACAGTCAGAAACATGAAGATCTGCTGATATAAAACAGCAAATCTGTATTTTTATTGAAGAAAAACTTAAAATATACAATTAATGTATGATAATTTTTAAGTATACATT